AGCATCTGCCCTCATCGTCCTGGTGGCTCATAACAGATACAAAAAGGTTATGGATAAGTTCCTGAATTAGCAAAGTGACATTGGGCACATGAGAATCCTCATCTCCTTCTATTTCTCTCCGAGTTTCAAGCAAAACTTTATGCAGGACCAGAGCATCTTTATAAATCAAAGATTCTGGCTCGTTATATGTGCAAGCGTTATTGAACATCATTACAAAGTCCTCTACCATGGAATCAATATCCTGGTATTTATTTGCCATCATATGACTTCTGATCTTTTCCATGTCAACGGGCTTTTTAATGGTTACATAATAGTCAGGAAGCTCAGACCGAGATGGCAGCCGCAAGAAGATGGCGCTCAGTCGCCTGCCTCGTTTATCCGTGTAATTCTTAACTGCTTCATACACCTCATTCAATTTCTGTTGCATTGGAGTCATGTATTTTGATTTTTTAGGAGAAATGCCACTTTTTCTACCTAAGCAGACAAAAAGGAAAAAAAAGAAAAAAAGAAAAAAAATCATTACAAAAACAGAGCTTGCACACTTCGTCTATCTCCTTTCCATTGGAGAATTGCGTACTGAAGAACCACTTTATGGTATGAGCAGAAGACTTACAACATGGAGCCCATTCCAAGTTGCAGCTTCCTTTATTTTTCATAATTGTATGAATATTTTTTTAAATGTTATTTTTGGCAAACACAGAATCATACGTTCCTATGTGGTCCACCTGGTGAAGGTCTCTTCAGACTCATGCAAAGAAAACATTAATAACATTAGGTAGGAAAAGATAACTCCTCTAAATTCAGTTTGGTCTTACTAGCTCTAGATGAATTTCTCTCTACAGCCGTTAAAAATCCAGTCATCACAGGGTTTTTGCTATCACTAAAATTAAGCATTCTAAATATTATCAGATTCCTTTATGACAAATCAGAGAGGATTATTACAGGTAAAATGTAAAATAAGACCTCCCATGGGATTATCAACCAGATTAGCTTTTGATTAATTCAGGATCTCCGTTACCGTACTGCATAGTCTCTGTGAATTCTCTACTACCTGTACCTTACCTAAGAGCTGCACTTTTCTATTTCAAGAAGGCTAGTGCAGTTATTTTCTTTAAGCTTTTCTGTGCAACTTTAACCTTCTCAGTTTGCTAAATTCTGAACACATATTAAGAGGACACGAGATTTGAGTAGTAGCAAACCTAGTTTTTAAGGGCAACAGGTCTAGGAACAGATATTGTTGGAAATTTCACCTCTGTGTTTTTCATGGCTTTCAATAATTTTCCAAATAAAGTTCACATTTCTTTTATCATTCTGTGGAAATCCCTGACATTTGACCAGGGAAATAAAGAGCTTTACTCAGTTGGAGAAGCACCTTACTTGTAAGCAATCCCAGCAGCACACATTAAGTGTGCTAATGAAGTGTTACTGAGCACATAATGCAGCATCTAACATTTGGATAACACCACATGACTAAACGCCAGTCATTCCAACCATTCCTAAGTTTTCCTTCTTCATCCTTAGTTACTTTTCTTAGAAAACGCTATATGCAACAACTGAATTCTATTATATACACATATAAACACACCGTTGCTGTCATGATTTTGAAAATATAATTCTACTTTGCATGTCAGTGTAAATTTGCAGATCACGTCTTCTATTCTAAAAGGAAGATCTGTTAATCTGTACTGTTGGGTTTTCATAAGTGTTGAAATGACACATAGCAATGTATGAGGTGGCCTTACTTAGCTTTAGTTTAGGGGATGCAACATCATCATCTTCAGCTAGGGGTCCCAGTTCTTTCCTTTTTTCTTTAAGGATCTTTTCCAGCATATGAGCATCATTGTATACCTATTAATCAGTAAAGTAATAAAAAACCAAAACAAGGTTTACTGTGTTTAGACTAGTTTAGAACTAGCCCCCAAGAAACATTTAAATGTTAGTTTGGAAAAAGTTGAATGCAAAACCAAGTACTTGATTAAAAAGAAGGGCTTATTTCTCAAATGTACACCTTTCATAGACTTACACAGGTAAGCAGAACTGATGAACACCATCTAAATCAGGAGGTGTATAAATCTTGACTAAATATTATCCAATTAAGCTGCATTTCTATTCCAAAGACTACAAAACGGCAAGATGCAGTTGTCTTATCAACCTCCTCATCAAACCATTCTGCTGAGCAATGGAAGATCTCTTGAATTGTTGTGATTCCATCAAGGTACACAGGACTAGAACAGTCCTCCTGGGTCTTCAAATCCAACCCCGGTGAACACAACCTCATCATAAAGTCCTGTACAGTAGCTGATCAAGTTCCTCATTAGAAATAGCTGGAGGTTTCTTACCACCACTCTGTTCCACATCATCATGCTTGCTGGCTGAGAAACATCACGATATAGAAACACCCTACGATATATTTGTCAGTGAAGAGCATACTCCTTTCAGACTCCTTTTGCTAGACTAAACAAGTCAGGTCTTCTAGTCTGATCTCCCACACGCTCCACTTCCATGAAAACAAAGCTGGTTTCTTTCCAACTAAGACATCCCTTCTCAGAGGTTCTGAGCAGTAAATCACATGCTAATGACCGTTCACTGTGCAAATACCTTCACGTGATTAATTGAGGACAAATAATGAGAATTTAGTAACTAGCTTATTTTTTTAAAACATACTAGGAAACATTCAGCTGACATTCTTTGTAGTGGAGGAACAAGTTTAGCTAACAGGAAATAAGTCTAACCTTCGCAAAGGAGCATGTTGCATTTCATGTTTATACAACTATAGACAAAGACAGAATTTAAAACAACAGCAGAAAGAAAAAGTCACGTTTCTATTTTAGTTCCATAAACAATTATCATAAATAATGTGAGTAATAGTCAAAGCTAAACTATCCTAACATAACTTATATGTCTGCAAAGAAGCAGAGAGGTAAAGTGTGACTGCAGAATCAAAACACTACCTGGGAGCCTTCCTCATTATAATGCCTTGCATTTCGGAACATGAGCTTCATGTCTTCAATCATGGCTTCTTCCCCTGCATACTTATCATTGCGGATGTTGTGTTCTATCATTTTCAAGTCCATTGGCTCCAAGATAATTTTGTAATAGTCTGGATAGTCCTTTTTGGATGGCTTAACCATAAACAGATCACAGAGCCGTCTGCCTGTGCCCGGTTCTCGAGCTTCCAGAACTGCATTGTATAAGATCTTCATTCGTTGTTTTCGTATATTCTTTTTACTAAGTTAAGAACAAAAAGGAAAAGAATAAATGTCAGTGGCTCTTTTCCCCACTTCCAACACTAATATCAAAACGACATTATCCTCTACCATGAGAAAACCACCACAACCACCTAAACACACACACAAGAAGTTCAGTATTAAGACAGTGTACTAGAAACATAGGTCCATTTGCAAATAATGACAGCATCATAACCAGCAGTCTGCTAAATAAGCTTTAAGACAGGATTTTTCTCTTATTCGCCTTGAGTTTAAGTGTTCTACGGAATAAAACAAACAACTAGTTTTCAGCAGTGCAAAGATCAAAAGGAGCTCTAAGCACTTTCCAGCCGCAGAGAAAACAGATCAGTCAGGACTAGGCATCTGAATTCAAGACCTCAAGATCTAGTGCAAACAGGGAAAAACCCCTCAGCCAGTATCTTCATGACTGCTTCTGCTGAATACAGAATATCAAAGACTTGAGCTATTTATCTCAGAGTAATTCTGTATCTTCTTCAGTACCAGATACAAGAAAAATGAGGACATCAAGAATGTGGTAGAAAGAAGGCTCTGAATTGCTTCAATATCTGTCAACCACAGTCAAATGAAGTTACAAGTGAAAAAAGCTCACCAAAACTGCAAACCCAGGTAGAAAATGGCCACGTACATGGTATCACCACAAACTTTAGAGTCATCCTATGTGTAGCTATTATGGTTGTCTCAAGAAATCTGACAGCACAACCAAGACACAGCTTATCAGGAAAACAGTTATGCGTGGCTCCCTGTACATATACTACATGATTTATAAGCAAATCAGATAAGGGAGGGGAAAGCTTATGTTAATAATTTATAATCTCAGCTTAGATACTGTGGCACTCTTAGAAATGCACTCCCTACAAAGCACTTTTGAACGAGCTTCCAATTGCAATCTCTGTAAGACTTATTCATGTAGTTGTAACTCCATCATCTGTAAAGACAACAACAACAATCTTAATTTGCAGAATGTGCAAAACATCACTGTACAACTTGCTAGAAACCAAACTGTATCACAGATTTTTCCATCATCTGGATCTTTTCCTCCTACATTTAAAATATATCTAATCCAGCATAGCCTCATGCCTCAGATACCTCTTGCTCCTTGGTGAGGTCAGCACAATAACTAATGAAAATTAATGTCACAACATAGGAGAAAATTCAAAATGTATCTTCTATAGGTTAAAAACCTTCTTCTGCATTATCTTCACTGCTAGAAACTGTTAATTAGTGGTTCACACTAGCAGATGAGTAATGCCAGAACAGAGACGTGCTTCCAAATTCCACATTTTAACATGTTCCCAAGTTTTAACATTTAGTTCAATGAAAGTAGGTAAAGTAAAACCAAAGCAGAAATAGTAAAAGGCCTGCCAATACTCAAGATTCAGGTCATGCATCTGATACATATCTGTGTCACTATTATTTTCCCAATGGGATGAATTTTGCCTGGGTTATTAGTTTCCTTCTTCAGCAACATTTTGGAATTCCTCTCAGTGCTTCACTTCTGCTATCAGCAGCATTTATAATCTTTTACTTCCTATCATTCAGCAAGTGAAACTGGTAAGTATTGAACCGACAACATCAAAAGCATTTTCAGGTTCTCTTCAGGTACAAAGAAAATAAAATCATTTTGATTTCCCTTACCTATGAACGCAACTTTTTCTCTTTCACTGTTCTTAGATGACAAGGCCTGACAGATTTTTTCTTTTAAGCATTTCAGTATTCTATTGCACAAGGTGATCAAAAGCAACATAGGGTTAAAAGGACACCGATGACAGTTTGACTTGCTTGATTAGGTTAGTAGTCTCTTTGAATCTGAAGATCGCAAAACTAGCAATTTTTGCAGTTTGTTCCTTCCTGATCTTCATTTGGTACCGTGGTCTGTCTTACCATTCCGCTACTGTTCTTCTTCCTAGCATCCCTAGACTGTACCACCTCCTAAATCCATGTTAACATTTTCTCTCTGCAGATTTTTTTATGAGTGTACATTGTTGCATTTACTTGATTGCTCTTAAGTGAATCTTTGCTGATGCTCTATTTCATTCCTGTCCTCCCCCCCACAACTGCTGTCACTTTGACAAAACAAAGAACTAAAAATACAGGAAGCTGAAGGTTATAAACACCACCAAAGAAAGATGCTCAATTACAGTTTTACACTGGCAGTTGCTACTATTGCAGTAATATTATCAGAAGTTGGAACTTATTTCAAATGATACCATGAGGCAGACTAGAGAAACTATCACTTGTTGGAGTGAAATACATCACTAATATTAATTACACAACAGCTATCATTGTTAAAGAATACTTTACATAAACCATCATTATTGCTCACTAAGAGAGTATATTTTAAATCACTGTGAATTTTGTTTACATTACAGTATCCAGAATAATCAACCTATTATACTTAGTTTATCTATTTGTCAAATACTCTCTTCGGCCCAGCAGCTGACAGGTAAGTAACCGAAGAGTGCAAATTCAGAAAGGAGAGAGAAGCAGTCCTCTAACATTAATGATGAAAACTCCTCAAGCACAGTTCAGGTCATGGAAAACGAAAATATTTATGCCAGGAGACTTCACCAAATAAAAATATTTGTAGAATAATACTACAAACTTTCAAAAAATTAACTCAACTATATATAGCGTTATATTCTGAAATTGCTACCCAAACTACATAAATAATCATATATCAGAGAAGTAGTAGAAAAGAAGCAATAATTGCTAAAAACCTGTGAAGACAGTCCACACACCAGGCTAAAATAAAAAAAACCAAAAAACCCACAAATAAAAATCCTGAAATCCACTGACAAAATTACCTAATCCAGTGCAACTACAATATCTATGCCACTTACTGAACTGATGTTGACAACTGCCAACTCATAGGCCAGAAAAGGAAAATAATGTCAGCAAAAGGTTTTGAATTCATTAGAACCAACACTTAATGAGGTTAAGTTTCGGAACTACAAATCCTTACAAAAATGCTAAAAACCATGGCTTAATATTCTCTTTAACAAATAAAAGATGTAGCAACGTTATGGTCTGCAGGAACGACAGAAGCGCACACCTTTTCCTTTTTGAGCTTCCAGTATCAGATGTAGCAGAAGAAATCATACTGTCCCCATCCTCAATATCGTCTCTCCTAGCAAGCTCCTTCTTCTTTGCCTGAAAAAAGAAGAAATCCCTGAAGCCAAACTCACTGCTGGACATTTCCAGAACAGTATTAAACATCAGAACAGATCAGATGCACAAAGAAAGATGCAACTACAGGTTTTGAGACTAAACCACCGTCAAAATATTTCCAGTGATTTATTTAATACAAGTTGACCGACATAAAATAGCAGTATAATTCTTTTTAACTGTCAGAAAATTTTTGAGGAATCAATTTGAAAACAATGCCATTTCAGGCTGCAGCACTTAGCTGGAACACTTAATGATATTTGAAGTGTTTTAGCATCCTCCAATTACCTGCAAACCCTAAAAAAACCCACATCACCAATTTTCTCACAACTTAACTGGGTTAAGAGTCATAGTAAGGAATGAAAGTGACCAAAAGAAATCACAGAAGGCAGCAGATGTGCTGAAGAAAAATCACCCTATGATGCTCTTCATTCTCATACTTCCCCCTAAGCAAGAAAATACTACTGCAAATAGAGGTCTAGTTAAAAAATATTTAGAAAAGCATTCATTAGGGAAATAAGTTCACGTGTGAAGTTATCCTTTTGATTGCTCTACTCCACATACCTGCATAACCTGCTGCATTTTCAGTACTCTTTTATAGATGGCAGAATTGGGAACGTTGTAGCGCTTAGCATTTTCAAACATCAAGTTCAGATCAGCCTCCAACTGATCTAAAGTTTCATATTCATGGTTCTTCAGTTTGGTTCTGCAAAAGAGTGGAATATCTGACTGGTATTTCTCAAGTTACACATTGCAAAACAGTACTTTGACGTCTTCATTTTCACAATAAATCAATATCCAAAGACCTCTAATTCAGGACTGTGTTTTCTTTTTCTGATGCTGCAGTAGCATCTTCCAATTGTAACTATATTAGGCAAACATATCTCCCCTTAAAGAATGATTTTAATAATTCTGAAAGCTGCCCTCTTGAAAGTTGTGCAGACTGAACTCCTGTTTTCATACTCAAATGAGATGTGGCACAGATGAGGCAGAAGCACAACCTGCTGAGACTATTCCAGGATGCCTCAGCTGTGACCTGTAGGGCCTGGGTATGATGTCAATGTGACGGGTTAGCTCTGCACAGCCACAAACGCTGCCTTCCCTAC